AAGTGTGAACCTTTCCCTCCCTTGTCCATGGACTTATCTTCCTGGGAACCTCATCATCCATACAGGTGACTAATAATTGCTATTCTCTCTCTCTCTCTCTTTTTTTAATCTTCACCTGAGGATATTTTTCATTGATTGTTCTTTCTTTCTTTTTAGATAAGAGTGGGAGGAAGAGAGAGACAGAGAGAGAGAAAGCGAGAACCATCGATGTGAGAGAGACACATCGACTGGTTGCCTCCTACGCAACCCCGACCAGGGCTGAGGATCGAACCAACAACAGAGGTACGTGCCCTTGACCGGAATCAAACCTGAGACTCTTCGGTCCACGGGCTGATGCTCTAACTCCGAAGCCACACTGGCCAGGGCTGCTGTTACTTCTCGGACTCTCACGGACAGTGTGCCAGGCACTCTTATGAGCCCTTTCCAATCTCCTGATTGCCCCCGTGGGGGAATCAAAGCTCCAGGTGTGCAGGAATCTTTTCCAAGGTCATGAAACGGATACATGGCCGAGTCAAGGTTCGAGCCACAGAGAGTCTGAACCTAGGGTCTAAGTACTTCAGAACTTCTCTGTGCTGGGCCCCCCCGCGGCCCCGATTGTCCTCACCCCGGCCTTCCCGTCACAGTCCTGCCACAGAACCTCCCTCCAAATCCGACCTGAGCCTGTCCTTCCTCTGCTTTGAACAACATCCTATTCGTTCGTCGTTGCCTTTAGGAGAAACTTCCTAACATGGAAAACAAGGTCCTTGACCACTGAGCCCCAAGTACCTGTCCCACCTTCTCATCTGACCCATCAGCCATCCTCCACCCTGTACCCCTGGCACCTGAGACCTTCACAGGTGGGGGCCAGGCCTCCTGCATCTGCCAAGGGGGTGCTTCTGCTTGACAAAAACCCTCCCCATATCTGCCTGTAGCAGTCTGACTTCAAAATACAGATGAGCCCGGCCAGTGTGGCTCAGTGGTTGAGCGTCAACCCAGGCACCAAGAGGTCGCCGGTTCGATTCCTGGTCAGGGCACATGCCCAGGTTGTGAGCCAAACCCCAGTGGGGGGCATATGGGAGGTGGCCCATTGATGCTCTCTCTCATCGATGTTTCTCTCTCTCCCTCTCTCTGTAAAATCAATTTTTTAAAAACATTTCTTTACACAATGCAGATGAAATGCACTGGCACTGAATCTCAGTTTCATCATTATAAAATGGTCCTTGTTTTCGTCCTCAACTCACAAGGGAACTATGAGGACCAAAGGATATTCTGTAAAAACTCTGTAAGAGCAAAATGCATGATAGGGTATAAGAAGAGCTACTCAACTACAAGGTTCGACATCTTTCCGACTCGCTCCAACCGGCCTTGGAGAAGGAAGGATTATTGGTCTTTCTTTCACTAGAGGGACCGGGCCAACAGGGGGAGCAGGAAGGAGATTCAACCAATCGAAACATCATAGACTTTCGAGGGTTTGCACTGAAAAAGGCGGGATTATTGAGAACGGTCCTCACGTGTGTGAAGGCTGATAACAGTAAGAAAGATGAAAGACACCAAATCTAAGGCAGCTGGGGGTGTGTTTTATAGTCTTAAATACCACCCTCACCCCGACTTTTATGTCTTCTCAAGAAAGATTCAAATTATTCTCCGAATAGCTTTTGGATTTGGGGCTGGGGTTTCTTTGAGAGTGAGGCAGGCTCACACTACAGACCACCGAGCACTCGGGATTTGGACAACTCACCCAGAAGGGTCGACACCCCGAGATTCTCCCACACGGGCAAATGCTCGGGTTTCTGGGTTCCCGCAGACCGTCTGTCCCCCGTTCTGTGTAACGTGCTGTAGGATAATGTCCTGTTAACGTGGATTTCACACTCACACACACTCCCTGTAGACTGTAGGTGCGTCAATGACAAGGATTACCCATTTATCTTTGTATTCCTAATACCTACAGCAGTTCCTACCCCTTCTTGCCTGAAGAGATGGAAATCCCAAGACACAAAGGGGGCATGGTTCAGTTTCTGCAACTATTACTCCTTTCATTAAATATTTCCATCGAGAGAAGTCTTGATGCATTTGTTGTTTGTTTGGTTTTTTTTCCATTACAATATTTGCCAGGAGCCGTGCTTTACAGAAAAAAAGATTTAACCAAGAGATGAGACATCAGGTCCAGAGTCATCCGCCATGAACCCGCCCAGTGACAGACAGGGTGACTCACCGACAACTGAGAAACCTGGACTTGATAGTCTTTACGGATGTTAAGGCTCTAAAATGCAGTGATCGCTTACTAATACTTGGCCCCACGTTTCTGGAGAGAAAAGGGGGGGGGGACAACCAGAAATGTCCAATCTTGAGTCTGTCTTCCTCTGAGCGCTGTTCTCATTCCGGATCTCACATAAAAAGTTCTGTTCACCTGCTTGATCAGGTGTCTCAGAAAGAGACCAAGACCAGGGAGGATGCAAAAGGATTTGCAAGGAAGCCAAAAGGGGGTTTCTGTCGCTGTGTAGTTTTTCCACTCTGTTCTCCTTGAAAACCACTTACCAGTTACAACTCCCCAGCCCAGGCAGGTGCAGGCGGGGGGCTCATTATCCCCTCGGGACGCGGAAGTCTTTTTTCTGAGAACAGCTATTGTCTTCCAAGGAAAAGCTTTTAGCATAATGGCAGGCTGAACAGAACATGGCTTTTGTAAGAATATTTTTAAGAGAAAGGAAAGGAGCAAGGTATTCTTTAACAACTGTAAATGCAGCCTCTAGCTTCCCCCAGCTCAGGCCCCCTGGAGAGAGGAGCAGTGTGTGGTCCCCAGGAGAGTGGGGTGGGGGGAGGGGAGGGGCGTCTCACCTCCAGACAGGGAAAGGTCACACCCTCCTCTTTCAGGTGATGATCTCTGCAGGTGGAGGACATGTCTTCCATCGCAAAAGGAGGAGAGCCCCTCCCCCACACCCTCTCACGGGATTACTGTACAATGAGAGTTTCTAATAAGAGAATGACATTCTCCCTCAGACGTTCCCCAGTCAGGTCCTCTGTCCCTCGGCCCTCGAGGACAGCCCAGACAACATTGCTACAGGGTCTGAGGATACAGAGACCCCCCCAAAAGGAAAAAGGAAAAAAAAAAAACAGCAATACCACTCCCGAGGAAAATGTAGCACCCCCCGTAGTGATGTATCTTCCCCCAAATAAAAAGGGACCCTCTTTCTCGGGGCTGCGTTGTCATTTAGAAGGTGAGGTTAGGGGGAAATACAAAGACACGGGAAAGTCAACGAACGGCCGTCGTGTTCAATGAGCAACGTGTCTGGATCCCATGCGTTTCTGGGGCATTTCCCAGTGACGGCTGAGCCTAGGAGAGGGGGGACATCCTGAAACTGCCCTGGGCTCCTCCTGAGCACCCACTTACTACCCCTGTGGCCTCGCTGGTCGCTGCGCTTCAGGGAGCCCTCACATTGCATCTGTGAGCTGGGATCGTGAGCCGTATACGAAGACCAAGACAGCAAAAGGCAAGAATCACGCACGGCTCCGGGAACGGCTGAGCCTTGAAGAGGTGGGCACGCTCCCCCCTCTTTCTCAAATCAATAAAAAAAAAAAAATTCTTTTAAAGAAAGTGAGCAGCATTCGCCTGACCATGGACCGGCCCTCTCTGCTCTGCCCAGGACGCCTCCTGAGGGAGCCCCCGCTGAGGCATTAGCATATTTCAGATCCACGAGGACAACAAGACTGAGTCGCAAGGGTCCACACTTGTGATAACTCATCTTGCAGAGCAAGCGGAAAGCAGTACCTCAGATTCACAGGAAGGTGTACTGAGAGACCTCTGTTTCGTTCTTTTCGGAACCGAATCATTTCCTGGCATGCCGAATTATTTCGGGGGCTTTTCCATGCCTCAACACCTCTCCGTAAAGCAAGAACGTTCTCTCTGGTGAGAGCTTCAACAAGCACCAGAGATGCACAGGCGGAGGTCCCTGTTATACGACACATCGGGGTTCGGCTCAGCTCCTACGTAGAGACCGTGCCCGCAAAACTGACTCTCCTTAAACAAGACAGCGTTCAGAGGAGGGGCTACTGCAGTATGCCTGTCGCTAACTTCCAGGTGCCGCTCGGTGCAGGAGGAGTCCGTACCTGCTATTGCTCTTACATGCACACAACACAGAAGAGAAGTTTTGGGAAATCCCTTATTATTATTCCTTGAAGCATGTGGGGGCCTCATTGATTCAGGTGGAATAATCAGTTATTGATTAGGCAGGTTGTTAAGCATCCATTGTCAGATGCTGCTGGGCCATGAGAAATCACCCCTCCCAGCCACCCAAGAGTCACCTGAGCAGAGTTGGCACTTCATCAGGTACGACCGTATCAAGGGATAAATTCACTGGAATTTTTTTCCCAAGTCTTTCATCTCCCAGACTTCTCTGTATTGCAAAACACTCCTGTTTGGTTTTCTGTGCCTACCTAAGGCTTCAAACTATGTCAGGAGCCAACTTGAAGAGCTAGCTGGTTACAGGGACGTCACACTGTATGCTGTGTGTGTGTGTGTGCACCTGTGTCTGTGTGTGCTTTGCTTGGGTCTTAGGGTTCTTGGCTGGGGCCCCCTCCACACTGTCAGCCTTTCAGATCCAAATGGTATTCAGGTTATCAAGGGGGTTCCTTGGCCAGGTCGCCAAAGCTCCACTCCTTTCCTCTCCAAGACCTGGCGGACTGAGTCCCAGTCAGCGCCGTGAAGCGAGTCCTTGGATTAGAGGTGGGAAAATGTGACCCAGCATCCTGACTGTCTTAGGAGAGGAGGTGACGCCACCTGCAAACTCCTCTCCGTGCCCACCAGCCATCCCAGCTCCCTGGCAGTCTGCAGTTTATTTGTCCTCCCTCTAACAACAAGGGGACATCGGTATGTATCCCTTGCGTCACGCCAAGAAGAGCTGGAGATATTTCTGTAAAGATGGGATCAGTCCCCAACCCTTTACGGAGCTTCTGCTCTCAATGCTTCTGAGACTCCGAGACACGCCTCGCCACCCAGCCTTCTAAGAAGAGGGCCCTTGTTCACTCACGGAACTGCTCCAGGTGGTCAGCGCTGGCCGACTCGGGCATAGCCGTGATGGTCACCAATGGGCACAGATTCCCCCCTAGCGTCTGGCACAGAGCCTCCTGCCGGAAGTAGACCTTTTTGCGGTTGACACTTCTTTCTAGAATATCCAGGTGAGTCTGGAGCAAAAAAGGAAACAGAAGTGGTTACTATTTTTGACAATGATACGGAACAGCAACGAAGCTTACCTCTGCACCACGCCTTAGAGATTAGAAGTAATTGTGTGAACCTCATCTGCCCTTTAAGGGGGGCTATTCCCACCTCCCAGGAGAAGTTCGAGGAGACAGCGGGAAGCAACATGCCCACCCGTGTCTGCCTTCCACTGGCACGGGAAGCAGAGGACAGGGCACGGCAGCTTCCTGTCCCTGTAGACCCAGCACGAGAGCTCAGGGGAACCGGAGACCGAGAACCACAGCTCGCAGACAACTGAAGGACAGATGTGAGCATACTGAGGTGGCCCAGAAAACCGTTCACCCAGGGGGAATGCCCAGCAAAGACAAGAACCAACTGGGGACAACTCCTTTCCCTACCCTTCCTTCCCGCCGTGGAAACCCGAGCTGATGGGTTCCCAGGCCGAGCGTCCGCTCCCGAGACTACACAGGTGCCCGGGGAGGGACAAAGGAAACTGTGCAGGGAGTCGAGAGACCTTGACCGAGCCCCTTCCATGCTCGCTGGGTTGTTGCCTGTCCTGGGCCCTTTCTCAAGACGAGTGAATTCGGTAAAGCCTGGTCCTGCGTGTTTGATTTGCCATCTAAACCAATAGCACTGCTCATTGGTAAGCAGAATGTGGGTCACGCCCTACAACTGAGGTTATTTTTAAATAGTGATGGCAGCCCCGGTGGGTTTGGGTCAGCCAGAGCGTCACCGGCGGATTGAAGGGTCATGGGTTCAATTCCCAGTCAAGGGCGTGTACCTGGGTTGCAGGTTCAATCCCCAGCCCCTGCTGGGGTTTCACAGGGGGGACAATCAACCAATGTGTCTCTCTAACATAAATGTTTCTCTCTTTTTCCTTCCCTCCCTTCCACGCTATCTAAAAATCAATGGAAAACTATCCTCCGGTGAGAATTAACAATAACAACAACAAAAAGTGGCCGTATGTGTCTGTGTGCATGTGTATAGATAAACTTACACGTATGTAGACACAAAAAATCATTCTTGGGTCATAACGTTCAGCAGCATGAGATGCCAGAGAAGATGAAATACTGCTCAGAACTTGAAAGTAGGAAGAATTATAATCCAGTAAACCTATAATCAGCCAAGTGTTTGCTGACAAGCAAATGTAACATACATGCTCGGATACAGCAACTTAGAGAATGTATCGCCTTATTATTATTGAAAACAACAACTTGAAGACATAGTTCAGCTTCTCACAAATCAAAGTCAAGAACAATGTAATAGTCAAACAGGTTCAAGTCCAAACGCCTATTGAAAAGATGATCGCTGCATTAGACCAACATTAAAAATTACTTTTTAGGGAGAAAACACGTATTATCAAACTTAAATGTCATTATCTGGTTCTAAAATGAAATTAAAGAGAGATGTGTGGAAAAGAAATAAAGTAAAGCAAAATGTTAACATGTTCAACGTACATGGACAGAGGAATATCATTTAATTCTTGGAAATGGAAAGCAGAATGCATAAGGCAAATGACTAACAGCATTTTCCCAAGTTAGACTGCCTGGGTTCTCATTTCGGCTCTGGGTTCTGGAATAGTTTTGTAAATTCTATCCTTAACCTCTCTGTGACTCAATTTTCTCATCCTTGAAATGGTATATAAAAACACCATTACCTACTTCACTCAGTGGCTGCTCTAATTTATATATATATATATATATATATATCACCATATATATATATGAAAAGTGCCTGTTACGTAGAAAACCCTCAATTTTAACTGTTATTATTGATGGAAAATATAGAGGTTCAAATATCCCGAATAGCCACAGCAATCTTGAGAAAGAACAAAATTCAAGGAATCACAATACGGGATTATCAAACTATACTCCAAAGCTACTATAATCAAAACAGGCTTGCAGACCAATGGAGCAGAACAGAGATGCCAGAAATCGGCCCACACCAATATGCTCAATTAATATTTGATAAAGGAAATGAGAACATACAGTGGAGTAAGGCCAGTCTCTTCAATAAATGGTGCTGGGAAAATTGGACAGAGACATGCAAAAAAATAAAAGTAGACAATCAGCTTATGCCATACACAAGAATAAACTCAAAATGAACAAAAGATTTAAATGTAAGTCATAAAGCCATGAAAATCCTAGAAGAAAACATAGGCAGTAAAGTCTTAGACATCTTAAGGCAGCAGTATTTTCACCGATATATCACCTAGGGCAAAAAAAGTATTTTCACCGATATATCACAAAGGAAAAAAAGTAATAAATGGGACTACATCAAACTAAAAAGCTTCTGCACAGCAAAAGAAACCATCAACAAAATGAAAAGGGAACCCGCTGTATGGGAACACATACTTGCCCATGATACATCTGATAAGGGTTAAATTTCCAAAATATGCAAGGAACTCACACAGCTCAACAAGAGGAAGACAAACTATCCAATTTAAAAGTGGGCAAAGGATCTGAATAGACACTTCTCCAAAGAGGACATACAGGTGGCCAACAAACATATGAAAAAATGTTCAACGTCAGTATCATCAGAGAGATGAACATTAAAATATTAAAATGAGGTAACCCCTCACACCTGCAGAATGGTTACCATCAATAAACCATCAAACAACAAGTGCTGGCCAGGATGTATAGAAAAGGAAACCCTAGTACAGTGCTGGTGGGAATGTAGACTGATACAGCCAGTGTGGAAAACAGTATGAAGTTTCCTCAAAAAATTAAGAATGGATCTGCCGTTTGACCCAGTGATCCCAGCTTTGGGAATATATCCTAAGAATGCCAAAACACCAGTCAGAAGAAACAGATGCACTCTATGTCCATAGCAGTACTATTTATAATAGCTAAGATCTGGGAACAGCCCAAGTGCCCATCAGTACGTATGTGGATAAAAAGGTTGTGGTACATATACACAATGGAGTACTATGCAGCTATGAAAAAGAAGGAGCTCTTACCCTTTGAGAAAGCATGAATGGACCTGGAGACTGTAATGCTAAGCGAAATAAGCCAGTCAGAGAAAGACAAGTATCACATGATCTCACTTACATGTGGAATCTAATAAATAAAATAAACTGACAAACAAAATAGGTCCAGAAGTATGAATGCATAGAACAGATGGAACAGACTGACAGATCTCGGGGGGTGGGGAGGACACAGAAAGAGATCAACCGAAGAACATAAATGCATATATATGAATAGCCCATGGGCACAGACAATAGCATGGGGAAGGCCTGGGGGGGCAGGGGGGGGTGGAGGGGGACAAAAGTGGAGGAAATGGGAGACATCAGTAATACTGTCAACAATAAAATACATTTTTGAATAAACTAAAAGGAGAGCACTAGAAATGTAATAAGTTAGAGGAGGAATAAAAATCAAAGAAAATATGCTTGGTCCACTTTGCATAAGAGAAAAAGAACGGGAAAGAGAAAGAGAGAGAACTGAAGGAAAGAAGGAAGGAGAGGAAAAAGCGGTGAAGCATGAGAACCAGCATCAAACCAAAAGGACAGAAGTCACGCAGACAATTGTTAGAACTATAAATAGGTTAAACAGTCTGATTAAATGACAACATTTTTCAGATGACTGTTTATAAATATGTTGTATGTAAGAGGTGCTTTTGAAGAGAGGAGGGAAAAAAAACATGATATATATAAAAACAGGCCCAAATTACCCCTACTAAGATATTCTAAAAGAGAGATGTTGAAATTTAAAGGACAAGCAAACACAGAGTGACGCAGGCAGTAGAAATATGTGGCAAAGTCATATCCAAGAACAAGTGCATTAAATGGAATTTAAAAACCTTATTTTGACAAAGGGCACAATTCACAATGAACATATAAAACCCATAAATCTTAGGAATCAAATAACACAGGATGGAAATACACAATATGAAATGGCAGAAGGGGAGAAATCGTACTTGGCGTGGGAGACTTTAAGACAGCACCTCAGTCTTGAATAAACCAATTGCACACAAATAATGATTTAGTGTATTTGAACAATATTGTTTTTATAGATATATGTCAAACTTTTTCTTTATAGAAAACATCCTTTTTTTCCTCAAGCTTCCATGGAACTGTAACAAAAATTAACCATATACAGGGCTACAGAAATTCAATTAATTAGAAAAGAAAACACCCAGAAATTATACAAACCATATTTTCTGATAACAATTAAATGAAGTTAGAGCTAAGTAAAAATGGTCTTAAAATCAGCAAAAATAAAACCATTAGAAAATAAAAAACATCCTCCTAAAAGGACCTCACTGAACAAATTCATATATTGAAGCAAAAATCAATATTAAATCAGTGTAATTAAAGCTCTGGTAGAAGTAGTGGACATCTGGTATCCCAGGAGAGAAAACACTGGAAGAGAATGGAAAGGTCCTCATCAGAATATCAGCCATCTTCATAAAGAAAAATTTTAGCCTGGCCAGTGTGGCTCAGTGGTTGAGTGTTGACCCATGCACTAAGAGGTCACCGGTTCGATTCCAAGTCAGAGCACATGCCCAGGTTTTGGGCCCGATCCCCGGTGGGGGCATGCAGGAGGCAGCCCATCGATGTTCTCTCTCATCGATGTTTCTATCTCTCTCTTCCTCTTTCTCTCAAATTAATAAAGAAAAAAATGGAAAAAAGAAAAATGTTAGCACCTAAATTGAGAGAAGGATGCTAGTCCTGGATGTAAATGACACTCTCTGTGATCATAAACACATTATTTTAACTGCTTTCATAAAATTCTTGGTGACAACTGCTGCTGATACCACTATTAAAACTCTGCCTCACAGTGACTATCAAGATTACAGCCCCCCCACACTAGGAAAGCAATACTGTTGCAGCCTTTCCCAAAATGTATTCTGCAGGATGTGACTCTGTTCCGGGAGGAGACAGGGAGGATTTGGCCCAGGGTGAGTTAGAGAAAATAAAAGCGTTTTCATGGCTGCAGACATCTTCAGATCCTTTAAGACGCCAATTCTTGAATATGCATGTTTT